ATTCCCTAATGCTGTTCCCCTCCCCCAATAAAATCTTTAAATAAATAAATAAAATAAAATAAAATTAATGTTTCATGTTTGCTTGAAAAGAATGTGTTATCTCTGTTAGGTGCAGGATTCTATATACATATGTCTATTGGATTAAGCTTTTTTATTACATTGTTCAAATCTTACTAACTTTAAAAAAATTGATTTATTATTAGGTGTGTTTTATTAAAATTTGTTACTTCATTTGTGGTTTGTCTATTCTGGTAATTTTTTTGTTTTGAGGCTATGCTATTAGATATGTACAGATTTAGAATTACTACAGTCTTCAACCCATAAGTAATTTTCAGCTTTTTATTCTAGGTTCATGCTTTAAATATCCTTAGAGCCTTGTTCAGAGATACACGTCTGGGAGAAAATATTATTCCTTATGTTGCTGATGGAGCTAAGGCTGCAATTCTGGGCTTCACATCACCAGTCTGGGCAGTAAGTGCTTTTGCCATTTATTTTCATTGACTTACCATATTTTGCCGTGTATAATGTGCTCCTGTGTGGAAAGCACACCCACGTTTTTGGACCAAACTGTCCGAGAAAAAAACATTTGTTTAAATTTTTAATTCAAATTTTTATTTGTTTACATTTAAGTACTTATTTTTATTATAAAGGAACTTTAGCATTTATTTTTTAACATACTGTGGTACAAGAAATTTTATGTAACAAATAATTAGAAAACACAAGAACAGATATAAGGTACAAGAAATTGTATGTACTAGTATCAAATTTACAATGTTTACGCATCATAGGCCAAGAACTCTTCATTGTTGCAAGTTCGTTGGAAGTTCAACTAAACTGATTATTGTATTCCAGGATACTATTTTGCATATGGATATCGTTATTGATTTCTAGACTTACACTTTTAATTCATAAGCATAAATAAAATAATTAAAAGCATTTATATAGATACGGAATTAGTACTACCCATGTATAATGTGCATCCTTATTTTTCCCTCACAAATTTGGGCAAAAAAGTGTGCATTATACACGGCAAAATATTGTAGTTATACTCCTGAGTAGGTTTTAATAAACTAATCTTTCACGGGGTGATAAAAATATGTACTGCATTTTATCAAGGAGTTTCTTTAAGGGATAAATCCTTAGATGAAGCTGTATTTTCACTCTTGGTATTTTATGATTATATTCTGTCTCCTTTGTTGGCTTATTAGCCATAGCTCTTTGTTTTCTTATTTTAGCAAGTGCTTTAGGATTTATAGTGTATATCTCTAACATCACAGCCTACCCACAAGTGATATTATACCACTTCACTTAAAGTATAAGAACCTAACAATGTGTATTCCAATTCTCTCCTCCCAATGTTCATGCTGTTATACATTTTACTTTTATGTATGTTGTAAACTCACACTACATTGTTATTATTTTTGTTTAAACTGCCAGTTATCTCTTTTTAAAAATTTATCATTTTGACTATTTTTTAAATTTATTAAATTTATTGGAGTGCCATTGATTAGTAAAATTATATAGGTTTCAAGCATACATTTCTATAATACATCATCCATATATTGCATTGTGTGTTCACCACCCAGAGTCAGTTCTCCTTCTATTACCATATATTTACCATTTTAACCATTATTAAGTATACAATTCAGTGGCATTAAATACATTCACGCGTTGTGCAGTCATCACCACTATTCATTTTTAGAACTTTTCATCATTCCAAACAGAAGCTCTGTACCCATTAAATAGTAATCCCCGATCTTTCCCTTCCCCCAATACTTCATAACCTTCGTTTTATTTTCTGTCTCTGAATTTGCTTATTCTAGGCCCCTCATATAAATGGAATCATACAATATTTGTCTTTTTGTATCTGGATTATTTCACTTAGCATAGTGTTTTTAAGATTGATCTATATTGTAGCATGTGTCATAATTTCATTCCTTTTTAAAGCTGAATAATATTCTATTGTATGTATATATGACATTTGGCTTATCCATTCATCTGTTGATGGCATTTAGTTTTTTTCTTTTGGCTATTTGAATAATTCAGTGAACATTGGTATACAAATATCTGTTTGAGTCCCTGCTTTCAATTCTCTTGTGTATATCATATGGTAATTCTATGTTTAACTTTTTAAGGAATTGCCAAACTGTATTGTACAGTGGTAGCACATTTTATACTCCCATCAGCAATGCTCAGCAGTTTCATTTTCTTTACATTCTCACCAACACTTGCTATTTTCCATTTTTTTGGTTTTTTTTTTTTTATAATAGTCACCTTAATGGGTGTGAAGTGGTATCTCATTCTGGTTTTGATTTGCATTTCCCTAATGATTAGTGATATTGAGCTGAAAGAAAAATGACTCTTAGTATCTAATGTGTTTTTCTTTTGGATGCTGTGAGCTCTGGATAACAGTGTGTTGAATGACTGCTATAAATATACTCAATCAAAAGGTCAAAAAACAAACACTCATGAAGCATTAAATTAAAATGGTGGAGGTTAAATAGTGAGTCACTTTTTTTTTTTTTTTACAATATGATCACTGTCCAGAAACTTTTTGATTCAGAACTCTAAAGCTAATAGACAAAACCCAGTATAGTTGTTGGATTTAGGAACGTAAACTTTCACCTTTTTTTCATGATTCCTGGGAGAAACACCATGATTTTATTGTTACCTAGATCATTGTGCCTTCTACAATAATGGAGATAAACCCATGGTTTGACACTTACAAAGGCTGGCAAAGGGAAAGGAGAAAAGAAGCTAGACCTAATATATTACCTGCAGAAAGAATTTTCTAGAAAAGCAAGCTTTCCAATTAGTGAGCTGCAGAAACCACTTCATAACTGTATGATAAGCCTCTAATTGAGAGTCGGTATACCGTAGGGTAGCCAAAAGCACCGACTCCCAATGTAAAGAGGAATCATCAAGGTTGCCAGCTCTTACCTGGAAAATTGTGCGTCTTCCTTTAAGGAAGACAGCCGTCTGAAATTCAGTCTAGGAGCATTGCCTAACTGCTCCTGAGGACACAGTGTTTACCTTATGCGTTTACGGGAAGTGGAGCAATACCTGTATATCATCAGTAGAGTCACGGAGGGAGAAATGTGGCTTGACCATCAGGAAAAATAGAGATCATAAAACTGATTGTTGGAAATTTCAGTACTGTTTTCTTCAAGCTATTAGTTCAAGATGAACAAAAAAAATGTTCTCTGTGAAAGGGCTTTCAGAAAGTGAAACCTGGTAACTTTTCCAACTTTTTAGCAAAACTGAAAGTATCAGAAATGAGTGGTTCATCTATTTAAAAAGTCTTTTTTGCGACCTTTTAAACAGTAACACATGTGCACTGCAGAAAATCTGAAAATAAAGGAAAGCATAAAAAGAAGTAAAGGTCCCCTTTTAAACTACCATACAGACATAATCGTTATGAGCTTTCTGATGTATTTTCTTCCTCTTTTTTTCCTGTGTGGGTTTTTACGTGTGTGTATTACACTCAGATGCACATATATATTTACAAAAGACTGTGTAAATTAGTGCCTATTTATAGTTTTATTTTGGGGGACCTTCTTTTTTAACACTGGTTATAAGGAAGCTTTTGGTTTCCATTGTTTGTTTGCCTTACTAGAGAAAATAAGCATCATAGCTATAATAATCCGTGTGTTTATTTAATATAGCCACACTGTTTATTTAATATATTGATTATTATGCTTCCTTCCTTATAAAAGCCTAATAATCGAAGATACACCAAAATTGTAAATCAACATAATCAATGAATGTGAAGAAGCCTTCATTTTACAAAACAATTTACCGCAGCATTCTTGGTTGAAGTCATTTAAAGAGTGATTGTTCCCTGAAGGCATGTGGAATGTGGTTTGATTTACAGAAATCTGATTTGTACGCATTGTCTCAGGACTCTGTCTTATGCTCAAAGGTGACTAGATCTGTACCTTTTACTTAATTATTTTTTTCTGATAAATTAGAGAGGGGAAAAAAACAAAAGTAAAATGAACTTAATTTTAATTTTTCAGTACAGGAACATTTTCCAGGAAGCATTCATGTATGTATTTAATTTGTTTTTACAGACTCTTCAATCTTTTATATTGAGACCATACAAATCTCTTCTTGTTCTTTGCCACCTATTCGGCATTTTTAAAATACAGGGGAAACGTGCTGTTGTAAACATATTAGGCTGTAGGTATACCTACTGTGTTGCAAGTAATATATTAAGTACTAGAAATAGATAAATAAGGTATAATCATAATAATGGCTGCCTTACTGTGTGTTTTTCATGTGCCTGGTATCATTTGCATTGATTATCTCAGTTAATGTTCAGAACAACCCTGTGAGGTAGATTCCACTATAAGTCTCATTTTACAGATAAAGAAAACAAGGCTTAGAGAGGCAAAATAACTCTGTCTAAGGGCACACAACTGTTATCTGCCTGACTCCAGAGTCTGTGTTGTTTTAGGGGAAAGTTTTGGGTGTTATAGGAATACAGAGAAGATACATTTTACCTACCTTGTAAGGTTTTGGCCCTGTTCCTGAAAGAGCTGGAGGTATAGCCTAGGTGCTAAGGTTTTATTGAGTGGTACAAACCCAAAGCAGCAAGAATGGAGGAAAAAGGGAAGTAAGGTAAGGAAAGAAGAAAGACATTATTCCCAAGACGGCCTTAACCTTAACAGCAAAACTGAGCTGGTTGGCTACTTTTACAGACGCCTCAGTCTTTTATATGTGATATATCTTCTAGCCAGGCCATGTGAAACCTGCCACCTCTTGGAACAGCCCAATATCCTGTCTCTTATTGGTCAGAGTTCACTCAGCTTGAGCAGGTGTTGGCACAACCCTTGGGCAGATGCTAGAGAAGCCAGATCCCATGCCATGCCCTGTGATGCAGCATCTCACCCGAGTCTGGACATGGCTGAGGGAGCCGCAACTTCCGTGGTTGTAGTTGGGGTAGACCTGGGGTTTCACACCGTGGCTCCCACTGCTGTTGAAAAACCCTGCACACAGTGGGGGAGAGATGGGATCTGACTGGTGTAGTTAAAAGTAGAGAGTCGAGTAAAGGTGGAAAGAGGGAAGGAGGAAGAACAATGAGGAAGCTATTGTAATAGTTCTGCCAAGAGATGACTGTGGCTCAGAATAGAGAAATATTAGTAAAGATAGTGATAATTGATTGGCTTGGACATATATTTTGGATATGAAGCTAGTTTAGTTAAAAATTTAGGTAACAGAAAGTCATTTACAGGTACATATATGGAAACAGAATTTTGCGAGTTGCTTTTGGAAACTGAGACATTTCTGGGCATTCCTTGTTTTTACGTTCAGTGACCATGAAACATCTTGATGTTCTTTCCCTGCATCCTCCTTGCAGAATAGGTAACTCATCATTTTCCAGCTTGCCCGAGACTGCACTGAGAATGCCACTTTGGGGTCTTTCTAAGATCCACAATGGGTCTATCTGGTATATCTGTAGTTTGCTT